TCACAGGTTTCATCAATTGGAATACGTGTTGGAAGCAATTTTCGCCATTTAACATAATGAGTGCGACAAAAACAGGTATCCCCTCCGCAGCAGCCGCACTAGGCCTCACGTTCGCCATATGTGTTCGCATTCCAGTTTTTGGTTATAGTTCATTGGGCGGCGATTACCATTAGTTGTACTCCTTTCACACCTAGGAGGAGCTCCCGGAACAGCTCTGAGGCGTTACGCGCTTAATTCCTTTCGAAAGTGTTTGATGCACCACGCATCTGTTCTTTTCAAATCGGGGGCGACTAACACCGGAGCGAGTAGCTGGAATGTTTCAAGCTCTTGAAAGGAATACAACTAAATTCACACTGATTCTGCAAATGGAAATCGCTATCAGTTATTTTCTTCAAGTTAGAGGTTAGTTCGCACAAAAATCACAAACCAAACAGTCAGAAAACTAGTTTCGTATTCACTCTGTCTGATTTGTGATTCTGTGCGAAAAGACTGTCAGAAAGTGGTTTGATCGTAAGCGGCTAATAGGTCTGTTTCTGCAGAAATCACAAACCAGTCAGAGTGAATTTCATTGGTTGAAACTAGTTTTCTGACTGTTTCTGACTGTTTTCAACCAATAGACGTCTTTTTCTGACGGAATGTTTTGAAACGTTTCAAAACGCCACATTTTGTGTTACAACGGTGACGTCATATACGGAAACGGTTCAACCAGTTTCGAACCGCTCTTTCAGCCTGTTTCAAAATACACGTTAAACGGAGCCGCTTTCCAGTATGGGAGTGTGACGCCCGGAGCTACTCGGAGCGTTGAGCTCCCGAGCTGTACGTACCTGTCAACCTGTCAGTTCTCACATCCGTGGGTGGCTATTTATTTATTTGTTTCAATTGTTTCTTGTTATATCTCGGGATCGAACGTTTCCAAAATATAGTTTTGATTTTCTTCAATTTTTAATAAATAAAAAACAAACTGCACCAACAAACAGATAATTATTGTTAAAATTTGACATATTTGACACTAAGACAGGCGTCTCACGCCATGACACTGGAACGGTACAAATCTAGCGCGTGGCGCCCCCGAGGTGCTCCGTTTTAATTTTTTTTAATTTTTTTTTTGATCACCACCGATCCGATATGATGACGTAGCAATCGAACCAGTTTTGAAACGTTTTGAAACATGGTTCAACAGAAAAAGAGGTCTAATGAAATTCGCTCTGACTGGTTTGTGATTTCTGCAGAAACAGACCCTTTTCCTCGACCAAAAGATGACAGGCCCACGTGATCAGGGCCTGGATTCCGAACTCACGTTTCGATAATATCGTCTATCGTCAAGCTGTGCAAAAGTATGTACCTGACGATAGATAGGGTTGCCAGATTTACAAGTGGGAAAAGCGCGGCAAAGACGGGGGGGGGGGGGGGGGGTATTTTATTTTTTATTAGTTCTATCTCTATCCTACGCACAAGGAATTTGGTCACCTTCAGTGGGGGTAAATCTTTTATTTCCGTAAGTGAGAATAATGTATACCCAAGAATCGTAAACTCTACAGGATTGCTCAATCCCATAAGACAAACGTTCATAAAAACATCGAAGATGGCGGTATGCGAATGACGTCACGCAGTCCTTGATCGGTTTGTGTTTTTTATGACAGTGCACTATCCTTGCATTTTCAAACGTGAAAAATTGTTATTTTAAGGTTATTTCCTTTGAAAACTGTATTTTGTAATTAATTTATTGATTTTAAAATTAGCAGACTTCAAAAGCTTGTGTCCTTGAGGCTTGAGTGGTTGGCTAATTGCTAATTAGAACGACGAGTTTGTTTGCTTTTGTTTATCAATTAGCCAAACATATTGCCAAAAAGTCAAAAAAACGAAGGGCTGGAGTCAAGCTGGCCCCCGGATTCGTTTCAATGTTTTTTTTGTGTATGAAAATGAGCACAATTCGCATAAATACTGGCACAATTGAGCACAAAACGGGCACAATTGACTACAGTTGAGAAACAGTAGAAAACCAAATGTGGAGTGCCGAGCCGGTTTAATTTTTGCATTTCAATATCAAAATATAAGCGAAACGGGGTTGCAATAGTGTGCTTTATTTTTTACTGACCCTACCTAGGTACTTCTCAATTATTATTCATTAATTTAATAGGTACTAGAACGATTTAATATGGACATTCAAAGTGAGCTTACTTCACAAAGCCAAATAGTGATACCTAATTTAGATTCTCATAATCATATTCCAGAAAAACATTGCAAGTTTCCCATATTTTCCATGCGTTTTCATAGTAAACGCGCCAGTAAAGGAATTTATTTACATATTTATTTATTCACTCTTCACAAACCCTAATTTTTATTAGTAATTACATGCAAAGGAAACTTACAACTAAGTAGATATTTGATTTATAAAAAAAAAGCAAAACAAATGCTGGACTAGGAAATACTAACTAGCAATACACACAAATAAAAGAGCGATGTCCTGATACAACAAATCCAGTATTATAAAACCAGAAAATGCTTGGGGTTTTCGCGAGTATTTTCAGCCACGAGTCTTTTATGCTTACACACATTAAATGAAACTTTAAATTTACACTTATAACACTAGATAAATCCGAATTTACGATAAAATAGTTGTCAGCACAAACTAAACATCATATTCTTATCAGCGGCCATCTTGAAAATCCGGCATGCGTGTGACGTCACAGCAATTGTGAACAAATTTAGCCGATTGAGCAATCCTGTAGAGTTTACGATTCTTGATGTATACCTATAAGTTCTGCCTCAAAATTAAAGATAATTTATGTATTTATTTTATTATTATTCAAAATGACATTTATGTTAGCAATACAATGTAAAATTGTCAATGCTTTTAAATTTTTTACGTAAAATAGTTACTAAATTTTTGACTCTGGGCTGGGATCACAAGTAGAATTCTACTTTCATGACGGCACCCGCGATTTATTTATCGCGTACGTACAGGCGATGATGACAGTTGCTAGTTGCTAGGCAACCTGTCGTCATGAAAGTAGAATTCTACTTGTCGTGATCCCAGCCGGAGCCCAGAGGTTTTTTCTTCAATGTAAAAAACAGACTTTAATATATGGGAAGGAAAAATACAACTATCATTTTATGATAGAAAATGTATGACCCCTGTGGCACAGCGTTGTCGGGTTTAACCATTATTAGGCGTTTTCTGAAAACCTCTATTCTTGTATTTTCCTTCGAATTTGAAAAGCGGGGCATTGAGGAAATCTGGCGTGGCGCGTGGCAGCAAGTGGAAAAGCGTGGTAATCACGCCTAAATCCGGGCGTCTGGCAACCCTAACGATAGACGATACTATCGAATCGTGGGTTCCGAATTCGGCCCCAGACTTGAAAGTTCAATATAGCCGCTTTCCAGCTGACGCTTTTAAGCACGCAATCGAGCTTTTGCGTGCGCAAATGCTTCAAGCGCGTGTTCGTGTTCCAGCCGTACTGCGCTTCGAGAGCTGCTAACTTTTGCGTTTCAGAGAACACTGTGCTGCACCGTGCTTGAAGCACACAGCCAGTGTTGCCGGAGCGAGAATTCTCATTACCCTTTCCAATCTCATAAAATACCCAATTTTACCCGGACACTGAAAACAAAATCCTCAAATCATTAAGCTAGGTTAGGGCACGGGGTATGTTTTTAAAATCATTAATGAAATGACATATGCGCATTTTCAGCGATGCAATGCTGTCCTTGACATTTGACAACAGCAAAACGAGGATAGGTAAAGTGTGTTTTTTTTTTAAAGATAAAAGTCAAAATGACATTATGTTGGCAATACAATGTAAAATTGTCAATGCTTTCAAATTTTTTATGTAGAAAAGGTTTGTGTTGCCAACATAGTTACTAAATTTTTGACTTGGGGAATTATCTTTAAAAAAAAAACAGATTTTAATTTACTCATCACGAGAAAGCGCAATGTGGAGCAAGTTTTTAAATTCAACAATTTATGTCAAAAATTACAATTTTGCTGCCTAAAATCTCGAAACCTGGTTGTATTCGTCTAGAACGCCCACCTAAATCGTTTTATCTTTGTTAAGATAACCAGATAAGGAAGGATGCAAATATTGCCAGAGCAAGGTCGACCATAATCGCGAATGCGCCCTATGACTTGCCCTCTCTATTTATGTAGTGTTCTGAGCCGCATTCTTTCGGGCCGGATCAGTTGATCAAAACGCGTTATGTTCCAGTGATCACGTTCTTTCGCATTTTGGCAAATGACAGTTAACGAATCATGATCCGAGAAATTCTGAACATATTGAACATTTTTTGTTTGTGATTAGTTTGTTCCGATCGCGAAAATCTAACCTCAACTTTCAAATTATTTCTTGTTTACTTTTTGCGCTTTCTGCAATAATATATAATATAAATTTTGTAAGCTCGTCCATTATTATAGGCACAGAAAAACAAACGTAGCAAATCAAAAAACAGCAAAATATAATAATAACCAACTCAAAAAATAGAGAATAGAGGAAAAGCACCAGCTGGCAGTGACACATCAGTGACAGCGTTTTTTCGGACTAATAAATGAAACATGTTCCATCTGAACGAACGGATCAGGATCTCGGAATCATGATTCAAATATTTTGCGAAAGAATGCGGCTCATAGTTTGAAAATAATAAACACTCTCATTTATGTTTGCAAAAATGGCGACCGTTTGTAAAACATGTTTGGTTTCAACCCAAATACAACGTAGCGTTGCGTTGAGCAGAACAATCGCAATAAAGCGTTTACCAACGTTTGTATCTGGTGAACGCGGCCAATGTGGAAAATATTAGTTGAAATTGTTGAAAATAAAAAAAAGAATAGGACTGTAATTCCGGATTCCCCAGTTTTACCTACATCAATATTTTACCCGAACACCAGTCGAAAGTACCCGGTTTTTGGGGAATTACCCAGTCAACGGCAACACTGCACACAGCTGGAAAGTGGCTAAGATCACATGGGCTCTGCCAACAGTGTCATATTTCAGTTCCGGTTTGGAGTATCCGAATTCGACCATTGCTTGTAGTAGTGCCATTAATGGCGACCCATTGCAACCCGTGCTTCAGGAAATAACAAGCTGGACTAGATTTTTGGTCAAAGAAAGGTGAAATTCCTTTCACCATTTTTTAATATTCCGATCCTCGTTTTTTTTTTTTTTTTTTAATTTTACCCAAAAGCCAAATGAAGGATCATCTGGCCTGTAGAAAGCTTCAAAGGTGGTTTGCACTTGCTTTGATTCTGACTCGTGACAGTTTACGAGTTTGTAGGCAACGTTGAACGTGCATTGGATGCATAGTTTTTAGGCACATAAGCACATACCACTAAAAAAATTATACCACGACATTATTGTCTGAACCTAAACATTGAGAAATTACTTGAAGGGGTGAGTTTATAACATTTGATTTATTGAGCCAAGCATTTTCGAGAAAAAAAAATCTACTGTGTTTTGCCAATTATTGGTCAGAGAAAACCTAGGTGAATGTGGCTATTTTCTTAACCTTTTTACTGGGCTGTTACATTGGCTTTTCCATGGCAGGGTTCTCCCCAGTCTCCCCGCAGTAGCAGTATTGTCTCCCAGTTCAGGCGTTTTCGCGCGCTTTAGAGTTCTGTTGCAACAGTTATGATTATTTTGACATTTTCTACTCTTTAAATTTTTTCCACTTTTCAATATGTATAACAAAACCGAGAACAAAACAAAACAACCATAACAAAAATATTCTTCCAATAGGGATTATAACTGTTACATGCAATTACATCAATATCGCTTTGACGGCGAAGGTTCTGCCTAATAATAATCCTTCAATTAGCACATTTTTTTTTGGCTTGTAGGTACATTAGAACCTGAAAGCGGCTGGCTTCTTAGTTGGCAAGCCACACAAGTTCTATTTTATTTATTTTTCTCTGAGGACAAGGGCTTGTTATTATATTATTATAAAATTTCTCCCTGAAACATGCCCTTTCGCCCCTTTCGGCTTTCATCCACCTAAGTATAGCTCGTTTTTATTTTATTTATTTTTTGTTTTCCGTGTAAGCGTATCGTTCTACAAAAAATAGCGTTATAGAAAATTAAAGAGGACTTAATGCTATACAATTTATCCAGCAACAGAATATGTCTATCACCTACCCTTTAGCCAGTGTCGGGCTCCAAAGTTGAGTGTCCTTGAAAAAAGATGTTTTGGGATTTTTTTTTGCCTATAAACAGTAAGGCGAATCCATCACAAACCATGCAGCACCTACTCATATATGATTGGCCGATTTTTTGGTATATGTTTCATTTAAAAAAAGTTACCCCTTTTAGATATACAGGGTGTTGACATTTAAAAAAACCCCTCTCCTATCATCTGAAGGGCTAATGCTGGGCTGTTCAAATTTTCAGGGATTATTGATGTAGGAATGACTTTTGAAATTTGTATAATGCACCCTCAATTTCTACCAAAAAAATAAAATTTGAAAAAAAAAAATGCTTTTTTCTCATTTTCTCGCACACAATGCCCTCTATGGAAATGGTTCACATATTATTTTGTGCATGCCCCTGATAAACATGCATCGATACCAAAAGTATTTTTATGGTACAACCCTTCTAGGCAAAAAATAAATAACATGAGGGGGTGTAAAAAATTTAAAAAAAATTTTTTTTGGCTTTTTGGCCTGTTAGCACACTGAATAGGTTTTCCAAAAATATATTTGTAGCTACTGCGAAATCTCCCAGAAACTAACCCTGCCGCTTATTTAGTTTTCTCAATCACTCTTGCAATTATCTTGTTACGGATTTCAGTTTTCTTCCATTATCTCATCACCTATACTCCTATACGTTTTATTCTTTAATTGAAGGCCAGAAATTTGTCTGCGGATTATGCATTTTTCACATTCTTGCCACCTTTTAGCCACAATGCCCACTGTTCAGAAAATGTCATGCAAACTCCATTTTTGCTTTTTTTTCCAATGATTTTTGTTTCAGCTCATGTTATTAAGGCCTACATAATTAATTCATGATAACAGTATTAAGTATATACCGATGTATATACCAACTATATTTCATGCAATTTAAGTCTCATGTTCCAACCATTAAAGTACAGTGGCGACAGCGTGTACTCGTTTCCACACCACCCTTGAGGTGGAGTGTATGCCTCATTTTTTTTTTTTTTGTTTGGTGTCCCCAGTAGGCCTACTCCATGTTAATATATAAACCTTGCGTTCGGTATTTTGCTCAAAGAGCAGAGCGTGCCGAGCGGAGCCATAATCACGTGACCAGTGAGCGAACAGAGCAGTTGAACGCTGTATAAAAGTGCCAGAAATTTTAATAAACGAACGCGAATGAGGCTGCACCGAGTACACTTTTTAAATAAACGAACGGTAAAGTCAAGCTCGGAGAACTCGGACCAAAATAACGAACGCACGGAAAGACTCCTCAGCTAAATCTGTACTTGTACCTAATTGGTTGGAACAGGTAGGAAATGGAAATGCATTATACAAATTTTTAAATATCATTCCTACATCAATAATCCCTGAATATTTGAAGAGCCTAGCATTAGCCCTTCAGAACTTTTGTCGAGTTTGCGAGGTTCAACATCTGTTTCCTGGCCTACTGCTACTACTTTATTGTAAAATTTCTTTGTTTTCCTGACACAGTCCACAGAAGTAAGAAGCATGAATATCTGTTTTATCTACGTCCCCATTTAGCGATTGTAGTCAAGTATGCTTCAGGTTGGAAAATCTTTTTTTGACGTTCAGTTTCCCAACCAATATGACCCATATTTGCTTCATGACAACTTGTTAGCAGAGCATAAATACTCCTCTCTGGTCACACCATTTAAGTGCTAACCAACTCTTGGCACATAAAAACTGTTGTTGCCTTCAAGGTTACATGACACTAGTGTCCCATGTCCCAGGATAATTGAATACAAAACGTGATTATTCAAAATCCAAGATTTTCATTTATCTATTTTTTTTTAAATTTATTTGGAAAAATTTACTTATTGTAATCTTTTTTATTAGCAAACAGAAGTATCCTATACATTATACATATCTGAATGTGAATAAGAAAATTGGAATACCTACTACCTGACGTTATTTGCACTAGTGGTGATAATATGCAAAGGTTCATGCATCACATCGACGCATCAACGAATAGGTAGTAGCGGGTAGTGGACAAGAAAAAATCGAGTCCCCATTTATTGGATAGGGGGACACTTCCCTACCTACATTAGTTCGAACTTGTTATCTAGTCCTTGTCACAGTATGTAGGCATAATATTAAAAGCATAGTCCTATAACAGTACTTTTCCAAAATTCAATGTTTTTGTTTGTTAGTTGGTAGAAACAATCAAAATCAGGCACAGCAACTTTTTTCCAGCAGTATTGGTATTGTACCTTTTTAGTTTCCAGTTACATGACTATGACCATGAAATCCTCTGTGACAGGTAGAAAACGGACCTCTTCGGTGGTAGCTGAGGCCTTTGTGATGTTAGGCTTTCGGTCATGAGCGTGTCAAATTACTAATTTGATTGTTAATTTTTTCTAGAACTTGCCTTAGTGAAGAAGTATGAGTTATAGTCGGGAATCACATAGACGAATTTCCCGTTCCAAATCTCCTCAACTTCACCACCACAGCAATGGAAAACACAATGGCCATGACAACAAAAAATGTAAGCGAACTCAGCTAATTTTAGATCTTAATACAGGCTATTCCAAATAAAATGAGTAACTGGGTATTCTAGAAAAGTTAAAAATACTGGGTGAATCAAATAAGAAAAAAATTTGGCAACTAAATGCCTTAGTCATAAAATGCCAACTCTAAATTTAAAAAAAAATCTTATTTGTTCAGGTAATATGTGAAAATAAACCAAATTTTGCATACCTAATTGTTTTTTTAAGGGTCTAATAAAATAAGTTCATATTATCAAGACAACTTTCCCCCCTCTTCCTGATGATGCTGCCAAATGTGAAATTCTAACATTTCGAGTTCTATCAATCATTTTTTTGCTTTCTTTTAAACTTAAACTAGGTATTAAGGGGGCGTTAATAACAGAACTTCAGCTTTTAAATCTGTCGGTTGTGTGCTCTGCGATGTTGGTTGACTTTTGAATTTGTATGCAAAGAGAAAAAAGAACCTACCACCAGAATTAGCCCAAATTTGGCATAAACATTCTTTGAGCGATTATCTACAATCCAATTATTTTTGTTTTCTGGTTTTTTTGTGTTACCTCATTATCCTGGAAAATAGGCAACCAGATATAGGTACACATTAATTATTTTTCAATTTGAGAGATTGTACATAATGGATCAAAGAATATTTATATATGCCAAATTCTGAAGTCAGATTTTTTTCTTTCTCTTTGCAGACGAATTTAAAAAAATCAATCAACTAGAGCACAGGACTGCCAGATTTGAAATCTGCAATTCATTAACGCCCCCTTAATGCATCACTCACAACAAAAAAAAAAACCCTTAAGACTTCAGGTCTATCAAATCAAAATCAAATAAAAAAATATTTATTGCTAATTTACACATACAAAATGAAAAAAATACAAATAAACATTTGGTATGCCCTGCTTAAGTTTTGCAACTTGACTGCAAGTGTTAATAATAAAATAAACTAATATGATTAATATTTTCATGGTAGCATGTAGCAGTTTACAATAGATTAATTTACTTTAAATTATTAATATAGTAAAAGCCGTTCACACGTTAAAAAAAGAAAAAAACATTCAGGCAATATCTAGTCGTAGGTTTTTTAAGGAACAAATAAAATCGTAATTAAATTTAAAATTGAAAAAAGAAAATATATAGTAAAAGCCGTTTACACGTTAAAAAAAGATAAAAACATTCAGGCAATATCCAGTAGTAGGATTTTTAAGGAACAAATAGAAATAAAATTAAAGTTAAAACCAGCTTAGTGGACATTACTAATAAACAAAATGTGGACAATAAAAATAATTAGGTACATGTAGGTAATTAAAATTTAAGATTTAGAATTTAGGCAAGCAACATTTGTGTTTGAGTAGGAGTATATTGAGTGCTTTTTTAAAATTTATTTATGCAAGACGTCAAATCAGTATACAAGGCATACTTGTAACCAGGCCTGATAAATTTATGAATATTTGCGAAGCTTAACAAAATAACATAATAAATGTATATGAATCACAGGTATGTTAGTTTACGCTTCCTGGTTATGACACATGGTCCTGGACCGAGTACTGGATTCTTGTACGCTTCTTTAGATTGAGAAGTTCTGCATTATTGTCGTTTTAGCCTGTTCATTTCTTATATTTTAATAGTTTGAGCGAGACCAATTGGCTGCCCTTTCTCTGTTGCTAAGTCTGTATTTTTTTCCAGTGACTTTGAATCTTTTGCTCTCATAGGAAGACACACATCGGCATATAAAACGCGGAAATATTTTGAAAGTTTTCGAGACAACAATTTAGCGCAGTCGCTGTAAGCGCTGTCAGAACACGATTGTTCTAACTGGAAGGTTCGCATTAGGCCAATTATTTCACGTTTTTCAAAAATATTTTGAAATTTTTTTCTCAATCATTCTAATAACACCTGTACACTTTTTTCCCAAAAAAAAAACTCCTATTTTTGAAAATAGAATTTGAAAATCGAATTTTTAAACTTAAGGATAAGAAAAGACGTCACTTTCCCAAAAATGTGAGGATGCCGAATTTCCGATTAGTAAATCATTCCAAAATATGGCTGATATAAAACTAGTTATTCCACAACTCACTGCCTAAAACCTATTTTTGTCCTTCACTATGTTATAAAAAAATAAAGTATACAGGGTGCCCATTTTAAAACTTACCCACCCCTATTATCTCGAAGTTGAAAATTTTTCGAAAAAGTCCCTTAAACATGTCAATTATAATTTGAAGGGGGATGAGTGTTTATGCAAAATTCATCTCCCCCCTTTCAACCCCCCAGCCCACAGAGCCACCCCCTAGAAAATCCCAACTGGGAATGGGGGTCAAGTGATACGTCATTTTGGAGGGTTTTCAATTCCATACATTTTGGTACAAAATTTTAATACCTAATTTCAACTGTTTTGGAAATATTGACAGTTGAAAATTGACACTTTTTTGCAACTTTTCAGGCTGTAAATCCTAAACGGATAATTTTAGCGGAAAACCGAGCTTACATTCTTATCCTAGATTTTCATAAACTATCATATGATACCAACTTTGAATTGAACCGAAGATTAAACCTAATTGGAATTTTCAATCATGTCAATAAGTTGCAAAAAAGTTAATTTTCAACTGTACAATATTTCCAAAACAGTTGAACTTAGATATGGAAGTTCAGTACCAAAATGTATGCAATCAAAAACCCTCCAAAATGTTGTATCACTTGACACCCCTTCCCATTTAAGATTTTCTAGGAGGTGGCTCTGGGGGCTGAAGGGTTGAAAGGGGGAAGGTGAATTTTGCATAAAAACTCATCTCCCTTCAAATTATAGTTGACATGTTTCAGGAATTTTTTCGAAAATTTTTCAACTCCGAGATAATAGGGGTGGCAAGTTTTAAAATGAACACTGTATGTATAATCGGTGAACTCTTGCTATCTAGTACAATGACCCTAAAATATTTGGGCTTTTCTAATGTGACAACAAGCGCATGAACATCGTTTTCAACCAATGAGGGGCCTATTTCAGTCACGTGAAAAAAATGGTAATAAGCATAAGCAATACGATCTATTTCCAGCTAACCATTATGCCCATGAGAAACTACGACATAGTTTGAGCCATGATAGTGATAGAGACCACCACCGAGTCGATTTGAAAAAAAGAAGCTATTCTGATAATACCTCTGACAGAGAAGGTACAGACAGAGATCGAGAGAAAAGGCACCGAAGAAGTCGAGACAAAGAACATCACAAGGGCCAACACAGGTCTAGAAAACGTTCCCGCAGCAGTGAGAGTAGATGGGATCGTGAGGTCAGAGGAGAACGTGACAGGGATAGATATCGCGATGATGAAATGGACAGTGATAGGTACAGGTTTTTGGAAATGGTTCTAACGTTTCTCTGTATAACTGTGTACTTAATCGTATTATAATTTCAACAGTGACAGAAGTCCTAATAGCGCAATCATTGGTGCCAGTGGAACAGAGATCATCGGGCATAAGAGTCAACCTCCAAACAAAACGATTATGATAAGAGGTCTCGCTCACCACATCACAGAGAATGATGTGAGTTTCATTTCTTAAAAAAAATATATGTTTATTTAAATATTTTTTATTTTTTCAGGTTAGACAAAATATAATTCAGGCCGGGTTAATGCCCAGAGATATCAGATTGATCAGAAAAAAAGATACAGGTAATTTGTTTTAAATCTTTGCGCATTTTTCGGTTTTATTTAGGCCGTTTTTCTGAAAGATACTGTCAATAAAGCATAATGCCATTGGTATCTATTGTGCTCTCTAGGTGCGTCGCGTGGTTTTGCCTTTGTCGAGTTTGCAACACTGAATGAAGCAGTTCGTTGGATGGAGATGAAACAGGTATCTTGAATTACACTGAAGAACTTCTTATTATTTACCTTACTATATTCTTGTGATAAGTATAACTACATTTATCTATTACAAATCATCTGTGTTCCAATGAGTCAGGCAGACACACCAACCTTTATTTATGTGTTAAAAGCTATTTTATGCTTGTCCCATTTTTGTGTATTATGATTTAAGGTAGGGGTTTGAAACACCATATTGAAATTTGTATGCATAAGTTTGCCTTAAATGAACTATGCCTAAAATAGATGTCATAAGAAATGGTTGATTGGCATGTCTGCGTTTAAAATAAATCAAATAAATGGAAAATTCAGCTTATTTTTTAATAATTATTATTAGGTACAGTGGTGAGCATTAAAAATGGGACACCCGATTTTTCCCATTGTAAAACTGGGTCACCAGCTACACCGTCGCCAATGACACGAATTGTAATATTTGACAAAAAATCCGTGGTACAGAAAAGACTGATTTACCCAAAATAGCGAAAAATATCAATACCTGTCAGTCGAGTTTTTAATGTTCACGACTGTAGGTATCCTTAGAAAATGTTCCATAAAAAAATTATAGTACAGGTGTTAAGTGTACCTACACCTCATACAATGAGGTTGTATCGCTTCTAGGTACAACTCAACACCTGTACTATGAATTTCCGTTACAAAAAATATTCTAATTAGATTTCTCACAATGTCAACAAAATGCACTTTGTGCATTACTAGATGTAAGGAAGGTATCCTGCGAAGCACTATGAAAAACGAAACTAATTATTAAAATACATACAGGGTGTTTCACGAACATCGAAACAGAGGCGTTTTAGGGTATTTTAAGGTCGATTCAAAAAAAACGTTCGGAAACGTCATTTTTGTATTCAAGGAGGAAACTTTTTCACCTCATCGGTATTTTGCTAGAGTGCACCCCCTGGTTAGGGTGACTTTCGCCCCTCTTTTTTGGATAGAGAAGATGGGTCGAGTGATACCTTGTTTCAAAGGTATGTTGATTTTCGTCACAACTGCATATTTTTTTTTTGAAAATCGAATGATTGGTTCTCAAGATATTCACTGTCAAAGTTGCCATAGGCAGTTGTGACGAGAATCAAAATACCTTTAAAACAACCCCACCCAGGTGGTGCACCCTAGCGACATACCGATGGGGTCAAAAACTTTCCCCCTTGAATACAAAATTTATGTGTCCGAGCGTTTTTTTTTTTTTTTCAAATTGACCTTAAAATACCCCAAAACACCTCTGTTTCGATGTTCGTGAAACACCCTGTATATCAAAAGCAAGGTTGAAAGTTGCATTTAAATAATCATGAAAGATCTTTTTTTTTTCAAAATTCAAGATTTGGGGCTTGGATGACTATATGACCAATTTAATAAATAATGGCTGTGCTTGGACAACTCAGTATGGATGTCATTGGGGTACAGCTCTACGAAAAATAACAAACGAGCCCTTAAAATGTGTCAACATACTGTAATATAGCATTGCACAAATCTTTAGTTGATATGAATTTCCACCATGGATTTCACAAACTTATATCTAATATAATAATAATAATAACCTTAGATTCGTATCACACAAAAGGTCAATTTTTGCAAACTCGAAAACAATATCGCATATTCCTATTTTGTATATGTATTCAAATGTCGAATTGACTTCACAAGGTCTTTTGTGGTGTGATACAGCCTTTGTGTCATGTACAATCCAATTTTGATTTTTTTGCAGACTTTCTAGCGATACCTAGAAAAGTTTAATGGTGGTTGAGGCTTGAATCTTGAATTTGCCACTAAAATTCATCAAAATTGAAAACATGCTTTCAGTCAACTTTCTCTTTTTACCCGAGTTAGTGGTATATTCCTTTTCAAATATACTTTTATTTAATTTGACAATTTTTTTTTTAATAGAAAATGTGGAAGACCAGCTGTCATTACGGTCGATCTAGCTTACTGTCTTTATTCAGAATCTTGTCTGCTTGTACACAGATATTTTCCATATAGAAAAGAGTGTCCTAGAATTCAATTTCCCCAATATAAACAACCTGTATGTATGTATGTATATTTGATGTTTATAGTTGTTAGAATAGGACCTGTTATGCTTCACGTTGAAAAAATAAATATATATACAGGGCGTATATTTTAAGTGATACCACTATTGCTATATCCAAAACGGTAAGAGCTACAAGGTCGGTTAAATTAGAAACAATTTTAATTTTTTGTTGCCTATTAAGGACTCGTTTACAGTGTTACCAAATTCCTTTCAGTTTATGAAATACAGGGTGATTTCTAAGAAACGCCTAAAAATATTTCATCTCTGTGAACGAGTCTTAAATGGGCATCAAAAAAGGCAACTTTTTTCTAATTTAACCGACCTTGCAGCTCTTACCATTTCGGATACAGCAATAGTGGTATCATTAAAAATATACACCCCGTATATATATTTTGCATGTATATAAACAATTTTTTGTTACCTTGAACAGGCTTATAAAATTAAAAATATAAAAAAATCTTACGAAAAAGTGGTTGGTTGTTTCTTGTGTGACTCAGAGCAAATAACCCCAATGTTATTTCAGGGTATTTTGATGCTTCAAGACAACTATAGAGCAATAATGCAGTACAGTATACCCAAAGATCCTTTTCCACTTGAAAAACCCATGATGCATAAGGCAATTGCTGATTGGTTTTGTATCAAGGTATATCAGATTAAATAATTTAAACCTAACTAGGTACCAAATTATGCTCTTTTTGTCAGTGTGGAGCGCAAAACTTTAAGAGGAGGGACAATTGCTTCAAATGCCATGCATCGAGACTGGAATCTGAAGAAGGCGGTAGCGGTAGTGATGAAACGTGTACCTATACAACAAAAAGTAAATAAAGTTCTTCCAGGGAATATTTTCCTTGCCTCATCAATTGCAACGTATGACTCAAGTCGGTACTAAATTGGTGTTCAGTTGCCTATCATTCACAAGGGCTACACGCTTGTGATGTGGGTTGCCTGGTTGTCGGGCGACAATATCTATGACAATTGACTTCACATTGGCTTTTTGAATGAAATGCCCCAGTTTTTGGATATTACCTATAATCATTTATTTACAATTGTTATGGAAAATGATTGAATGAAGTTGGTTATTCTTTCAATTCTGGAATTTCATATTCCACTGTCACGCATCGACAACAAAATAAGACACCAGAACAAATCTAATACACCAAATAGCAGAAATCACTACAATTGGAAAAATCTTCAAGAAGATTCTTTAGAAGAATAATACATGGACTTAAGGGCACTATGATATAACCCAGACTTTTACATTCCTCACCCCCAATACATGCAGCGGACACACTCTCAGACAGTGGAGGCACTCTCTGTCTGTCTATCTGTCCGCCTGCCAACGCGCCGCAAGCAAATATTAGAAATAAATCGTATCTATATATCTATCAAACAAAACATGAACAAATTGCAATATCTGTTCTTAGTTCAAAAATTGATGACGCAAGGAAAACATTCGCCAGAAGGACTATCGGTTTTTCTCATTGGAAAAACATCATACCAATTATTGGTTATTTTTCAGCAATTATGCTAAGGAATTTAGATGCCCTAACCACAGAAGATTCAGTCTTGTCGGTTCTAGATGTTGTTATACCAAATTTAGTTAAATCAATTTCGGGAGTTTGCATAGGGCGAGATCCATTAACTTCTACGTCCAGAGGAATTTGTTATTTGGGGACAGATAGCACAATAGACGCATTAGCTATTTTTAGCAGCCTAAAAGCCTTACAATTTCCTCTTCAAATTGATGGCAAATCAGTTATACTATCCTACTGCAAATACAACATGGGCAACACAAAAGAGGCATACTCTCTTGCAGACCATGCAGCTTTTCCGAATGCTTCTATTCCTCAGACGTATTCTATCACAGATGTGGACAATTTAGCCGAATATGCTGCAAAAAGATATGCTAAGACTCCTGAAGAATATTTACACTATATTGAATACTATCAGCAATATTTTACAGAACAAATCAGTGAAGGTAATTCTATAACCTTACATAACGAAAATCAAATGGATGCGGCAAATGCTGCTGCTGCAGTTGCTCATTCGGCAATTCAGCAATTGAATGCTTCAAAATCATATTTTGAGAACATGCACGTGGACATACCGACTGGCACAGGAACGAAACGTTATCGTAAGTAGCACTTTGTTTATTATGCATATAGTTTGTTTACTTTTTTGTTGTTCTTCATTCTCTGTATCTGCTTGGTGTTTCATGCATTCGTTGTGGTTTCTCTGGTTGGTTTAATTTTTTTGTTTTGCAAAAAATTATTAGGAAACCTTGTAATTTAAATGAAAACCACTTTCTAGAAATAGAAAAAATTGGTGTTTGCTCAAGACAAGATGAAGAGATAAAAGAATGAAGAGAAACATAAAAGCTTGCAAATAAAGGGTTGCAGCAATTTTTAATTAAAAAAAAAACTTCCATGTGAGTATCAGTGTTTTATGAGATTTATTTTCTCTGTATTCTTCTTCATATTCATCTTATATTTGGCGGAGTATATGGTGAAGGCCAAAAAAATCGCTACGAATTCATGACTTTATTTCTCAAACTATCAGTCATGCAAAGTAAAACGGAATCGCCGTATTGCTCTATGGAAAGCCAATCTTGTAAAATCGAGAGTTTTAGCAATTTCTTTATATGCTGAATTGAGACAACGCGACTGCTTCAGATGAATCTTCTAATTATACTGGGAAAATTTATATAAGATGACAATAAATGCTTTCAACAACAACTGTGCACAGAAAAATTTCAAAATTTGGTTAGTAAGTATTGTTGGCTGATAAGCATCAACAATAAACATGTCGCACCTATACAACCTCCATGAAACTCTTAAAACTTGACTAAACGTCCAGGTACACCCGAAATTAGGTCACCGCCATAATATGTTATGCTTGTAAAAGTTTAAAATTGTATAAAGGTGCCTGTTTCTAGAGAAACTATCTTTTGTTATGATTTTCCATTTAGCCTCGTTTACAAAATTAACAAATCGTTTTAAATTGCCTTCTATGAAACCTCTTCTGGCAATAAACATCTTTTTTTGTTGATCAATATCGTTGTTACTTTTCTCCGTATTGTGCAAGTATATAAATGCAAATATTATTGAAGGCAATGAAAGAAATGTTCAAGTATGTACCTACTAACCAGATTGATTGAAAAAAAAACACATCTAAGCGGGTGATTTAATAAGAAGATAGTAAACGTTAACAATAAATAAACATTATTTTTTCGGTCAATCCTAAATTGTTAAACTGGGTAAGATGGCGAAAAGAAAATAAGGAACAGAGTTAAAGGGGGTGTAACCTTGAAGTACAACTTGTCTTCGAGTGGGAACTTTATACCAGAATATCTTCGCAACGGTTGGCCGTAGCCTAGTGCAGTTTGGAAATTTCTTCATAGATATTTTTTTTCTAAAACTTTCATTTTTGGGTCACACCCCCTTCAAAGAGGAAGGAGGAATATAATTTTTTTCAATGCCAGAAATTTTGCAACAGCTTGCTTTTGCTTTTACAATGCTCGAATGTTCAACTGTCCGAGTTCGTCAAAAACCACAATAATTTATCTGGTTCATGGGATCAAATGTTTGGGGATGGGAATCCCTGTGTGGAAAATGCCACGGGCGATCCACCTTTCCACTATGCATTCCTGGTTGAATAAATTAATGAAACGCCAGCTTAAATTTCAGTTTATTATTAATATTATAATAGGTTTATTAAAGGCTTTCACAACAACGTAAGTGAAATAAGTTGGTTGAATGCTTCTCGACTACGCTGCCAGCTGGCGCTAACGGTCTGAAAGTGCCTAGTTTAACGTCCAGATTGAGGGCAAAACCAGACAATTGTGATCAGCTAAATCGTAGTAAATCGTGCTATCCTTCTGGAATTTGAAGAACCATACTTTTTGGAAGTACTAGTTTCATTTTCTCCGCATCCATCATCACTCATTATAAGTCCGCAGTCACCATCCACTCTTGAACGCCATGGATCTCGTGATTCAAAACAAGAAATTATCTTCAAAACATTTACATTCTCTAGTAGCGGCAAGATAATTTCGAATATTTCAGACTGAGTTGGTTCTAGTGATGGCCGGGATAAAGTGTCCGCACTACTGTCCGCCCAAGTTAAGAACACCGGTTAAAAAAATGTGAAGAATTTAAGTTCATAGAAAAAATAGTTGTCACGTATTGTTAACAAATAATAATTATTAAATGCCTCATTTTTTTGTAGTGAGTGTACGTGACAACTATGTTTTCTATGAACTTAAACTCTTCACATTTTTTCAACCGGTGTTCCTAACTTGGGCGGACAGTACATTTGCCTTTCAGGGCGTATACCTTTTCAATTTTCATATTATGTTTTTAATGATTAAGATGATCAGGCTAATCTGCCTCTGGGTTATTTTCGGGGCACATCTTATTCTATACATATTTAATGATATAAGATTGAAAATTACTAACACGGACTATCATAGCCACGTGCAGCATAATATAGGTACAGGGTGTTTCCTTATATTTTGACCCCTACCTACAGCTTCATATATACGAGGTGGAGAAAAACTTTAAGTATGAAAGTTGTAGGGTTTTATGTCTATTATCTTTTGCGAATGTCAAAACGGGCAACAGACAAGTGCCAACTGTCACAATGACAAACACTTGCATTTTTCAAATGGTACACCATTATATTTTTGGCTAGAATGATAGCTTATTTTCTTCTGATTCCAAATATACCATATATGTTGATATTTGGTTCAGTTGTTTTTGCGCTATTTAATTTTAGAATTGCATTGAGCAAGTCTCATCATTGATATAAGAAACTCTAATTAAGGGTAATGTAAATTCACTTTTAAACTTGAATAGCGTAAAAACAGCTGAACCAAATATCAACATATATGGTATATTTGAAATCAGAAGAAAAAAATCTATCATTGTAGCCAAAAATATACAGGGTGTTCTATTTGAAAAATGCAATTGTTTGTCATTGTGACAGTTGGCACCTGTTATTTCCCCATTTTGACATTCGCAAAAGATAATAGACATAAAACCCTACAACTTTAATTTTTAAAGTTTTTTTCCACCTCGTATAGCTAAAGCTGTAGGTAAGGGTCAAAATATAAGGAAACACCCTGTACATTTTAATACAGTCAAATACATTGTACTAAACCAACTTTTGTTTGCAGATCCACGTTATTAAAATTTTAATCAATTGAATCACGTGAGTTTTATTTAAAGAACAATTTTCTAAAATGCGGTGATTTCGTTTCAGACTTGTATGAATAGTTATCAAACACCTCTTTTGCTTTCCATATACACACCAATACCAGTTATTGAAGCAGATGGATTCCGCTGACTTTTTGCTTTAATTTTAATCACACCCTTTACTTTCTGATAATTTAAAACAATAAAAATAATATACATTAGTTTTGGTAGAAGGTAGTGCAATGTAAAATCGAATAACTTTTCAAAAAATAATAATTTTTATGAAAAAGATAACAAATATCCACCTTGAATACACCCATACCTAAACAGCTGACCTATTGAAAGTATTTATTGCATAGAAAAAAAAAACAACTTCAGTCCATAGTTTCCACGTTAAAGCAGCTTCAGAATGAATAAATAATTTTGGTACATATCGATATGGCGATCGGTTTTATTCTTGTATCACTTATTCATGCTCTTATTGAACTTTGTTGAAGAAAGCTGAAAGTAACTTTTATATAGTTATTGATGGATTAGAGATAATATTTTTCCAACGACTTATTGTGGAGTGTTGTTCTATTGACATTTATTTTAGCGCCCCCAGATATATCATCGTTTGTATATGATAAAGCTACTGGTCTTCAGTATGATCTAACTACAAACCTATACTACGATCCAAACTCTTCTTACTACTGGAATAGCATTATACAGAAATACTTATTCTATGACCACAAAAAGGCAGCATATGTGCAAGCTCCCACATATGATAACTACACTACTTCTTATAGTAATAAAGTGAGCGAAAAAAGTAGTTCGACTTCTGATGATCTAAAAGATAAAAGTAGTTCGGGAAGCAATAATCCTCCAATAGAAAGGCAGGATAAAGTTAAAGTTGCAAAAAAAATTGCTAAAGATATGGAGAGGTGGGCAAAAACATTAAATTCTAGGAAAGAATTTGCTACTGTTCGAAGTGTTCATGAAGGGAACTCTAGTAGTAGCGCTAGTGCCGATATAGGATTTTCAGTCTTGGAAAAGAAAGCTGCACTGATTCCTACAAACCCTCCGGAATTTAAACCAGTAGAAGAGCCTGTAGCTAATAGTCCGGAAGTTCCATTAGTAGCATCATATGTCGGCGGAAGCGAGTCTTCAGGTGAAGAAGATGAAGAGTCTCTACTAGATTTCGCCAAACTTATCTGCAACCTTTGCAAAAGGCAACTTGGCTCTTTGGAAGCATTACAAAAACACTCTAAGCTGTCTCCTCTACATAAGCAAAATCTTGAGGCAAGGCAGAGCAAGAAAGCAGAACAAATAGCCGCAAAGATTGTCTATCGAGATAGAGCAAAAGAAAGAAGAATGAAATTTGGAGACCCGGATGAACCTCAACCAAGTAAATTAAAAGAGAAGTACCTGAAATCACTGGATAGTGAGGTGCCAACTTTAGCAGCTTCAGTAATGGAACCGATTGGATCTGAAAATGTTGGAAATAAGCTGCTGCAAAAAATGGGATGGACTGAGGGACAAGGGCTTGGCAAAAGTAATCAGGGGCGTACTACTATTATTCAGGTAAATTTATATTTTACATTTTAGAGTATAATAGTTGATAATAGTGATAGTAATATATAATGGGAATGGCTACAAACAATTTGAAAGAAAACTTTCTGTGGATGAGCTAATAGAAGTAGAAGCAATTGATCAAAGTGATTCTAAGAAGAGAATTACAATTAAGTGGTTTTTTTTGCGCTTGATTACTGAATGATTACCTCTTGATGTATTGTCATAAAGTCGGTCCAATTAGCATCTCAAATTAAAATGATTATTTCGTTTATATAGAAGCGTCCTTATAGTGGAGTGCATTCTAAGATAAATTTCTCTTTCTGTGGGCTTCTTGAGGTTACAAAATAGAAACCACATCCATTCAGTTTTTGTAGAGATTGTACCACTAATGTAGTGCTAACAAATAGGAGATATATTTTATTTTTTTTTTTTTTTCGCCTTTAGTGCATATAAAAAGTTGCAATTTACATTGCATTGAAAGGATTTTTTTTTTCTACCACCTTTTTGTTTTTAGGGGTAGTTCGCCTATTTTCAACTTTACAAAAAAAAATTATTGAGAAAACTTGTTCATTTTATTATTTTGAACAACTTTTCTTTATAATTTTTTTTTGTAAAGTTGAAAATAGGCGAACTACCCCTAAAAACAGAAAGGTGGTGGAAAAAAAATCCTTTTTATACAATGTTAATTGCAGCTTTTTATATGCACTAAAGGCGAGAAAAGAAAACAAAATTAATATATACCCCTAAAAACTAAAATTTCCCTAAGGAAAGTGTCCCCCCGCTGAATGGGGGTGAGTTACAAAAAAAGTTGATTGGGGAAAAATGTAGGAAATATAATCTCATAAAACTTTTATTGAAAAAATAAAAAAACTTCAAACTACCCCTATTGAAAAACGGCAGGGGCGAGTAAAAATTTCATAAAGCAAAAACGTATGTATTGTAGAAATTTTTTTCACGTTGGCTAAAAATTTGTATTTTCATTATAAATTTCAAATGGCCCTTATGACCACAGATGGCCCTTAATCAAAAAAGTCTTTAGATAAACATTGTAGATCAAATAATGTTGCACATCTTTTATTTGAATTTTTTTTTTGTAAAATCAATAGGTACCAAGTAATCGCCAATGGCGCACTTTCAACCCCTATAGCGCAAAACGCCAAAGGGGTGAATGTGTGATATCTTCGGGTTTATGATCACCCTCCCGCCCCCTATCATCCCTGAAAAATTCATTTGGGTAGGATTTTTTTTTTGAAAATAGACAATCTTCCTAGATGTATTTGATTATATTTAAGCCCAAACCTACAACCTTTACTATTTAGGATTTTAAAAAATTTCAAATACAAAACTTGACAGTTTATTTCTATATTTTCTTTTAACGGTATCAGAAAAAACAAAACCGCATCGGAAAACGGAGAAACGTAGACAACTTCGACTTTCTCCCTGATTCCAAATATATTATATATATATTGATGACATTTGCGTGAGCCATTTTTGAGATATCTTAGCTTAAATTATAAATAAATTGCAAAGAAATTCTATGAAGATTGTATCTCTTGACATCCTTATGAAATTGTTTTGCAAATTATTTATAATTTAAGCTAAGACATCTCAAAAATGGCTCACGCAAATGTGATCAATATACTATATTATTTGGGAATCAGGAAGCAGAGCTGGGCAGGGCTTGAGTGCTTTGTGCTTGCGAAAGTGCTTGAAGCACTTTGAGGACTTGAAAGCCCTGTGCAAAGTCAATTACTTTAGAAAAGTGCTTGGTAATTTGTAATTGAAAAAAGTAATTCAAGCCCTTTCAATGAGCTTCAATTACTTTTAGAGGGCTTGAAGCACTTTTGCTTGAAGCCCTTTGAAAGGGCTTGAAGCACTTTAAGAGGGCTAGAAGCACTTTTGGGAGCTTGAAGCACTTTGAAAGGGCTTGAAGCACTTTGAAAGGGCTTGAAGCACTTTAAAAGGGCTTGAAGCACTTTGAAAGGGCTTGAAGCACTTTGAAAGGAATTTGAATTGACCATCATTCAACCTATCCCCCACTTAAAAATTTTCGATCGTATTTTGTCCTTTTTTTTTCTATTATTTGTTTTCTCTCTTAACAATGGAGGTTTTGAATTTGAGCTTAGAATGGAATTTAAAAAAAAAAAAAATGAATGAACTTATTATTCAAATAAATAATTAATTTATATTGGTATCCTATTTAACTTTATCACTTGATTTTTTTCACTTTTCCCCATTGAACATTTTGAAAACCTTAAAATTGAATTACCATGTAGTACCCCAAGTACCCCAGAACTACATCTCAAATAAAACATACTACTGCTACTCTGTGAAATTAAAGTTCGTCTCTAGTATACCAATTCTGTGTGATGAGTGTACGCGGTAGCTTATGCCACTTTGAGAATTTTATTACAAATTCAAAGTGCTTTAGGCACATATAAAGAGCTTCAAGCACATTTAAAGAGCTTGAAGCACATTTAAAGAGCTTGAAGCCCTTTTCAAGGCACCCCAAGCACTTTTGATGTGCTTCAAGCACTTTTCAAATCACTTTGAGGGCTTTGTGCTTGTCAAGCCCAAAGCACTTTGAGGGCTTTGTGCTTGTGAAGCACTTTTGAAAATAAAAAGGAATTTGTGCTTGAAATTGAAGCACTTTGATAGAGGGCTTAGGGCTTAGTGCTTCAAGCCCTTTTACTGAGGGCTTTGCCCAGCTCTGTCAGGAAGAAAAGATATTTCATTTTATCTTATAATATACAGTGTGTTCCATTAAAAAAAGTTGGAGTAGTAGTCTACGTTTTTCCATTTTCCGATGCGATTTTGTTTCTTCTGATAACGTTATTAAAAAGAAAATATAGAAAAAAACTTCAAGTTTTGTATCTAATTTTTTTTTCTATCTTAAATAGTAAAGGCTGTAGGTATATGGGCTTAAATATAATCAAACACCCTGAACAGGGTGTCTGGTTATAATTTGACACCCCACCTGTAGCCTTTACCTTTACAGGTAGATGGAAGGTGTAAATACCAAAGGTATGCAGTTTTAGCTAAATTTTTAGAATCCATCGTCAGAAACAAAAATTTATTGTCAGAAATTTGAAATTTTGCGTACTTTCAACTTTTTTCAAATGGAATGCCATATAAACTGCTGCACACTCGAACTTTCACATACAAAAATCAAATATTCTATTTGAAAAAATTGAAAGTACGCAAAATTTCAAGTGTCTGACAATACATTTTTGTTTCTGACGATGGATTCTAAAAATTTAGCTAACACTGCACCACTTTTGTATTTACACCTTTCATCTACCTGTAAAGGTAAAGGCTACAGGTGGGGTGTCAAATTATAACCAGACACCCCGTACCTAATAAGATTCTATAAGGACCAGATCACCCAATTCGTATAATTTTTGTCCCCAAAATTCTTATTTATTAAAAAAAGCTGAATTTATGTAACATTGGTTTTTTAAGGATTAAGAATTAAGAATCAAAGAACTGGGTAGTCCTGGCCTGGCCTAAATTGAGATATTATCACTCTCACACAAAATATTGAAAAGGTCATCAACGGGGTTTATTAGGTTTTGAGTGGATTGTTCAAGAATTCGTTTGTTGGGTTCTTTAAAAGAGATTTGACTTCCAAATTTGCAAAAATTAAAAATTAATTTATTTATTAAAACCAAACCTCCTCTTCCTTATTTAGTTTGTTAATCAAAGAATATACCTATTTATATAGTAGAAGGTAATATTCAGCTTTTTATTTAAAGTTTACTAGAATATTTTTGAAAAAAGATCCTATATGCATAATTTTTTTTACAGGCTGAAAAATATGGGACGTCAGTAGGTTTAGGAAACAAAGTTTTAGCTTATACAGCTGGCGAATCATATAAGGATTGCGTTAAAAAAATGATGTACGCAAGATACCAAGAATTGACCGAGAGAGAAAATATTTGAAATTTTGTGGGAAATTCCGATATTTTGCTATTTTTTTAGCTTTTTTTTTAGAAAATTTTACAATAATTTATTGTAGATTCTCAAACTGTTCAATCCCAATTGAATTTGACAAAATGATGTACGTAAAATACCAAGAACTGACCAAGGGAAAAAAATTTGTAAGAAATTCTAATATTTTGAATCTTTTTTTCTTAGCTTTTTTTTTAGTCTTACAATAATTATTTGTAATTTCGCAAAATGATCAAACTCAATTATTACTTTGCGGAATTTATTGTAAGATCACAAATTGTTGAAACCTTTTTATTATATTGCGACCTAGCTGTAAGTGGAAAATTTAGAAAAACAATTAAAGATTTATTGTGCCCTGGTATGCTGAATACGTAAGATACCAAGAACCAAAAGAGAAAATAATGGAAATTAATTTCGAGAGAAATTCCGATATTTTATTTCTCTTTTTGTTCTCTTTATTTTCTTAGCTTTTTATTAAGTTTGACACTAATTTATTGTAATTTCGCAAAAAGTTCAAACTAAATTATTAACCTACCTACTTAGCAGAATTTATTGTAATATCACAAATTGTTCAAACCTTTTTATTTTATTGCGACCCATGTAGCTGTAAGTGGAAAATTTGGAAACAAAGATTTATTGTGTTCTGGTATTACGCAAGATACTAAGAACTGACTGAAAGAGAAAATAATGGAAATTAATTTTGAGATAAAATCCAATATTTTTTTTTCTCTTTTTGTTCTTTTTATTTTGTTTTAACTTTTTTGTTCGACAATAATTTATTGTAATTTCCCAAAAAGTTCAAACCTAATTATTTACCTACATACTTGCGAAATTTATTTAGAGATCGCAAATTGTTCAAATATATGTATTATAATTGTGGAGTAGTTTTAAGGAAAAAATATTGTTATACATAATTCTGATAAGTATTTAATCTTTTTTGTTCTTTTTTCTTAGCTTTTTTTTAAGTTTTACAATAATTTATTCTAATTTCGCAAAATGTTTTTACTTAATTATTACTTTTCGGATTGGTTTGTAAATTTTTCAATATTATTTCTTATATTGTGGATTAGTTTTAAGTGGAAAATTAAAGCAAAAAAAAATAATTGTTGATTTATTGTATCCTGGTATGTCGAATAGTTCATGGAGGAGTAGAATAAATCAAAGGTCTTTGGTTTACCCGTTTATCAGATTTTATTATACTTGTTCAACACTTCATGAAGAATCTGGCTAGAATATTGGAGAATATAGAGTATAGTTTCAAATTGGTCTCAAAAACAGATTTTTCATCAATAGCTCAACGTTTAAAGGCTTTCAGAATAGTTGATAAAGATAGATTCAAAATATGAAAAGTAATGATTTCAATATTAAATTCTACATTGTCATAGTAGTAACAGGTAAAATTATGTAACCTTGAATTCATGATAATATGTGTTGTGACCACAGAAATGGCTATATTATTTTACACTCAGGTGTGACAATGACTAAAAATTAAAATTTACTAAATCTCAACTTTTGCAAATGAGAAAAACTTTTATTTTGTATTATCGGTTGTTCCTAAAAACTTTTCAACAATCATGACAATGGAATGATATCACTTCATTGTTGCTCCTAGACGAGCAAATGTCTCTATGTGCCGAAATAACGAACATAAAAACAATGCCTTATACTTTTTCAAAATGGAACCAAAAGAATGATAATTTTGACGGATTTTAACATATATATTTTGACGGTCGCAGTTGTACGGAATTGAATGGCATTCTTTTTCTTCTTCAGGTGCCGTCTCCGCTTCTGAGGTTGGTATCGTCTGGGCGATTCATATTTTCGAAACCGCAGCTCCAAATGGTTCGTTGTTAATGCATCTAAACCACTTCCAGAGGTTGTTCAGACATGAGTTTCGTCTCCTTCCGAAAGATCTGTCTCCTTGGATTTTTGCTGCATGATAGGTAATTTGTAGCATTTGATATTTTTCTCCCGTCCGAAGATAGCAGTTTTCTTCTCTTGATTGTTGGAACTACTTCTCTCTTCTAGTCCTTATGCGTACCTACGTCACATTATTTCCACGTTGGTTATTCTCTCTAGCCATGAAACCCTCAGTATTTTTTAATATATCCACATCTCAAATGCCTCTAGCCTCTAGCGGTCATCCTCAATGCCCAAGATTTCATCTCATATTATATTATAGAGAGCACAGAGCATCCATCAGTCGTATTTTCAATTCAAGATTTAGATCTTTGTCCTGGCTCCGTCAAGTTAGCCCCCCCCCACATTCGAATTTTCTAAAAAAATTGCAACCACTTACTGTGCTCGAAGTGTGCTTTACTGTGCCGATGATATTTTGAACTGTGCCGTTTCGATAACAAAGTTATAGGAAAAAATAGATGAGGGGCTAACTTGACGCTCAGCCCCCCCAAAATTTTGGAAATCAGATGAAACCAAAAAGGATTCTTATCCAATCTGAAGTGTGCTGAACTGTGCCGTATCAGGTTTTTCTCAAAATTTCCATATTCGGTCATTTTCCGACAAAATACTACTGGGGGGCTAACTTGACGCTCAGCCCCCCCAAAATTTTGGAAATCAAATTAAACAGAATTGAATTCTTATCCAATCTACAGTGTGCTGAACTGTGCTGTATCAAGTTTTTCTCAAAATTTCCATATTCGGTAATTTTCCGACAAAATCCTACTGAGGGGCTAACTTGACGCTCAGCCCCCCCAAAATTTTGGAAATCAGATTAAACAAAATTGAATTCTTATCCAATCTGACGTGTGCTGAACTGTGCTGAATCAGGTTTTTCTCAAAATTTTCATATTCGGTTATTTTCCGACAAAATAATCATACTGGGGAGCGGGGAGCCAATTTAAAGCTCAGCCCCTAAAATTTTGAAAATTAGATTAAACAAAATTGAATTCTTTTCCAATCTGAAGTGTGCTGAACTGTTGCTGTATCAGGCTTTTCTCAAAATTTCCATATTCGGTCATTTTCCGACAAAATCCTACTGGGGAGGTAACTTGACGCTCAGCCCCCCCAAAAAAATTTCGAAAATCAGTTTGAACAAAATTGTATTCTTATCCAATCTGAAGTGTACTGAACTCTGCTGTATCAGGTTTTCTCAAAATTTACATACTTATTCGGTTATTTTCCGACAAAATCCTACAAGCTAACTTGACGTTCATCTCTGAGAATTTACATACATATCATCCATTAGGTTTATATCGGGAAATGGCCAAACATGGAAACTTGGAATAACCTGATCAGGCACAATTCAGCTCACTTCAGATTTAATAAGAATAAGAGTCCGTTTTCCTTTGATCTGATTTCTAAAGTTTGCCATCAACTTAGCCCCCTCTAAGTTTTTTGTCGGAAAATGAGCGAATATGGAAATTTCGAGAAAAACCTGGTACAGCACAGTTCAGCACACTTCAGATTGGATGAGAATTCAGTTTTGTGCAAACTGATTTTCGAAATTTTGGGGGGGGGGGGGGTGATCGTCAATTTAGCCCACCAGTAGGATTTTGTCGGAAAATGACCGAATATGGAAATTTTCAGAAAAACCTGATACAGCACAGTTCAGCACACTTCAGATTGGATAAGAATTCAATTTTGTTTAATCTGATTTCCAAAATTTTGGGGGGGGCTGAGCGTCAAGTTAGCCCCCCAGTAGGATTTTGTCGGAAAATGACCGAATATGGAAATTTTCGGAAAAACCTGATACAGCACAGTTCAGCACACTTCAGATTAGATAAGAATTTATTTTGTTTAATCTGATTTCCAAAATTTTGGGGGGGCTGAGCGTCAAGTTAGCCCCTCAGTAGGATTGTGTCGGAAAATGACCGAATATGGAAATTTTCAGAAAAACCTGATACAGCACAGTTCAGCACACTTCAAATTGGATAAGAATCTTTTTTGGTTTTATCTGATTTCCAAAATTTTGGGGGGGCTGAGCGTCAAGTTAGCCCCTCATCTATTTTTTCCTATAACTCTGTTATCGAAACAGCACAGTTCAAAATATCATCGGCACAGTAGAGCACACTTCGAGCACAGTAAGTGGTAGCAATTTTTCTAGAAAATTCGAATGTGGGGGGGCTAACTTGACGCAGCTCTTTGTCCTGATCATCAAACGCCTGTCCTATTCACTAAGTCCTCTGAGTACAGATTAAAGAGGACTGGTGATAGTACACATCCTTGACGAACACCTCTCTGTATTCCCGTTTCTTCTGTCCGATGTCATATCTTCTATTCGTTGCTGCTTTTTGGCCATAATATAGACTTGAAATTATTCTTATATCTCTGAGGCCTATCCTTCTCTTCACGTTTCGATAAGTTCGTCAAGTCTAACTTCACCAAACGCTTTATTGTAGTCTATAAAGCACGCGCACATGTCTTGATTCATGTCTACAACACATCTTTGTGATAGTACATTGAGTGAAAACGATCCTGGGGCGTAGCCCATAACTGATTGACAGTGGCAGAGAAATAATATAAAGGCTGATTACCTTTATAAAACGAACAAAGAACAATGCTCAGACACTTATTAGTTTTTTGTTATACAGGGTGTTCCGAAACTATTGTGCCAAAAATAAAGGGATGATGGATCCCGCCAAAATAAACGTTTTTTGCTTATAAACCCATAGGCGCATGCGCTTCGCTTAGGTGATAATAGCACATTACAGTCCGCGCTGTGGTAGCTACCTTAATCACGGAGAAGCGTGTTTGAATCAGAAACTGTGCTATTAAATAATACAAAACCCAAGGAATGCTTGCAGTATTTATTAGCAACAATTATTCACATCAAAAGATGCTCAAAATTACGACCACCCGCCCCCCAATGCATACGTGAAAAAATATAGACTGCAGGAAACCCTTCCCGAACTGTTAGAAACTGTTCCCCTGTATGCCGGACAAATTATGTGGTACCAACACAACGAAGGTCCACCACATTACTCGTAAGCCGTGAAGGAACATCTCAACGAAACATAATCTGGAAAGAGTGTTTTTTAAGGGCGCACCTATTGCATGGCCTCCAGGTTCACCAGACCTGACCGAATGCGACTTTTTTTTAAGTCATATGAAAGTGAACGACACTCCAGTTCAAACCGAGGAATAGTTAGTGGGAAGGATTGTTGCAGCAGCTGCTGAAATTCGCGAAACGCCAGGAATTTTTCAACGTGTTAAGCAGGCTATGCTATGGCACAATAGTTTCGGAACATCCTGTATAGATCGATGACTCAAATACTTCCACAAGCTTCATGTTTAACAGAACAAATTGCCACTATTGGTGCCAAATAAATCCGCACCAAATAAAAATTATAAAGTCGGGTCGATTACTATTAACGTTTGGTGTGGTTATTACTATTAATTCAGTGGCGTAACTACCATAAGACAAGTGACCGCAATGCGTTGGGGCCCCCAAGCTTGGGGGGCCCACTCGCTCAAAAAAAAAAATGCAAATATTTGAAGCAGTTCCTAATATTGTCGGTTTTTTCTTTTAACTGAACCTAGAGACACTTTTCTGTCAAATATATTTTTTTTTAATTATGTTCTGCATACCTAATGAAAAGTTTGGCAACGTCTGCGTCGCGACGGCAGATTAGGATCTAATAGTTAGCTCCGGCTTCCGATTCGATTCGCACCAAAACGCAGCCAGCGCCAGCAAGTAGAAGCACTTTTTTGTGCTTCAGCGGTATTGCAAGCCTCACTACTTTCGGCTTGCAAACCTACCGCTTCAGCACAAAAAAGTAAAGCTTCTACTCCTCCTAATACAACAATATACTATTAAAGTTTTGTTTTTCTTCGATAAAAAGAAATATGTATTTTGTTGTAATATGTACGTAATATAAATAAACAAATTAAAGCTCATTGTTTTGTTTTTGTTTAGCATTTTGACTGGAAGGGGGGGCCTCCTTTCGTATTTTGCGTTGGGGCCAAAAAATTCTAGTTACGCCACTGTATTAATTGTATTTTGGGATCTCAAGTTTATGAGAGGAGTTTGACGGGTGGAAGTTACCTACAATTTCTACCCAATCAACTACCCTTTACAAACAATATACAAAATTTTCAACAAAAAATTATATAGAAATATTTATTTATGCTATTAGGCCAAGAAGTTGGTCTTTTTTTACTGAGCTCAACGTTTGAAGGCCGACGCGTAGGTAGCCTAGCTTCGCTCCAATTGGGACGA